TTCACGTAAAAATCTCTATCAACAAACAAACACCAAGCGCATACCAACCTCTCATATCATATCATAGATTAATCAAAAGACATTCATGCAAACAATATAACTTCATATCTTAATAACATAGAAACATACTCAGGGCCTTTATTTTCAACTCAGTCAATCAAATAAGAATTACAATCATAAAATCAATAACGAAAAAATGATTAAATGTGATAATTTAAATCATACGACAGAACAACAAGTAATTTAGGTAGTACAAGAAAATAAATAGGCAACACACATGAGCTTAGGGCAAACATACACTGACTAGTTTTTCAGCAACACTAGTGACCTGTAATTATTGTTAGAATTTTTTTAGTTTTTACAAAATACACAATTATCAATTATTAAGCCCTCATTTACCGTAACAGAAAATAATGTGAAAAATCTTTACCCGGATTAGTATTTTAAAATGCTAAACTTTCTACTATGCCTCTTAATAAGTCCCGAATTGTTTTGAATTTTTCCTGCGAAAACTTAAAATACTCGTTATATACATAAAAATACAAAAAAAAAACTCAAAATTGATGTTAAAAATCTTTTTCGACCAATTTTAGAGTTTCGGCACGACACCACCGTCGTGCTCTGACGCCAGCTCCGCCACCCACGATAGTAATTTACCTCGGACTAGCCGATTTTAGTCAGTTTTAGCCAGTTTTGGCAGACTTTACACGCATCCCTGCGAAAAAATATGTTAGTAAGCCTTAGTTGACCAGAAAAACTAAAAAACCAAACCTATTGGCGGGGGTCTCCGGGTGCAGCGGTTCTGCCAGTTCTCATTTGCGGTTGGGGATTCTTCTCTGGCTAACCTGCATAGAAAGGAATGATGTATACAATAGTCAAAAAATCGTGTGAAACGAAAAACGGGAAGTGGCTCATAGGAAGAATTTTAGAGTTTTTGCCACGGCAGCTCTGCTGGACTTTACTCGTCATTTTTGGCTCACCCACCGTACCTCTTCCTCCGATATGGCCACAGGGAGGCTCAGAATTAAATTCCAAGCGGATAGGAGAAAATTTTACCTTTTTTGGTGATCGGTAGTGGCTCCGGTGTGGTGGCAGTTGGTGGTCGGCCTTCTTCTTTCGCGTCTGGTTCTTCTTCTCCGACAGGGGTTGACGGCTACATTGACATGGAGCGAGGAGAATCGTTCGATTGTTCCCCGTTTAGGCTGATGGCGTGGCCGAATCACGTCTCTTCATAGCATTTAATCTCGTCTGTCCGATGAAGCCTAAAAGGGAAATACAACTAGGCCATCCACATACGCGGGATCAATTCTGAACTGTCAGATTGTTGGCATGCGGATCACCCGCGTAGCCCCCCGCGTGGTGCTGACGTTAGCGTGTTTTCGCACATGGTGCGTCTTGATTCGTCGTGGCTACTGACTGGGTTATCACATATGGTCGATTTTTTTTTTGTATTTTAACCCCCTATTTCTAATTTTTCTTTCAAAAATACTCCCCAAATTCCAAATTTCACCCCTTCTTCTCAAAATTATTTTCAACTTCGTCCTTAATTCATTTTTTTTATAAAAAATTCAATAAAATTAAAATATAACACATTAAATAATTATTTTATAAATAAATTAATAAAAAAATTATCTCGGACTAATTTTTGAGCTCGGGTATTACAACTCTCCTATCTTTAAAAAAATTTAGTCCCTCAAATTGGTCACTCTCTCACTCAGTCGAACAGTTAGGGATACTGAGC